CACCTGGTGCTTATCTCTTGGAGACTATTTTTTTTTTAACAAAAATGAATGCCATAGGTTACAGGACTGATTAGCTTAAAAAGTTAGGAAAGACACGGACAAGTTCAAAATGGCTGACTATCAAAATTTGCAGGACCATGAGTTTTAATACATCTTTCCAACATTTTATCTTGCCAAAAAAAAAAGCTGTTTTATTAAGCTAATTGGTAGCTTGAAAACCACGCTTGATGTGTTGAAAATAACTCCTCTACCAAAGCCACAATATATTCCATAATAAAAAACCCCTATGTGCGAAGATGTTACAGTTGAGCACTTAAATTAGGAAATAGCAATGTTAAGGGTGACTCCCACACTAGCTTGACTCTGTACTCTTTTGTATATGTAGCTCCTCGTGCTAAAATAATGTATTACATTACAATTATGTTTTGAATATTTTAAGTATGCACTTGAATTCTAAGCTTTTTGAGAGATACTCAGTGTGAAACAGTCTAAACAAGAACCCTCTGTTGACAAAATACATGACTCACATTAGTAAGTACTAATCATCTAAAATGAGATGGTCAGAATCCACCCCATTCCAAAGCACACTGAAATCCATGGGTGTCTGCCTTTTGACTGCAATGGGCACTTAAATTCAGATCTCTGTGTATGTGCAACTCCTCAAAGCCTTCAGTCAAACACATTCTATTTGTCGTGAGTCTATTGAACCTCAAAGGGCCTGGATTCATGACTCCATTCATTTTAGCACTCAGATTCCTGATTTTTGTGCCCTTTCCCAGTAATTCATTCTTGCTTCTGGAACAGATAATTTCTATTGAGAGCTCTGTGTTGGTTGCTTGCCCATTCCAGGACTGCCAATTATTAGAGATGCCAACCTTTCAGGATTGTCCTAGAGTCTCCAGGAGTTTCAGATTAATATTCAATTAACTATTACCTCATCTGAAAAAACCTCCAGGACCACATCCAAGCAGAATTGGCCACCTAACACATAATACAAGGACACATTAACATTGCTTTTAAAACATTTGTGTTTCCATCACAGCTGAAAGTGCTCATGATCTGAATTTGGCCTCATTAGAAAGGCAAACAAAAATACACCACAATGTGCAGTTCAGCCCAGCCCTATGGCTACATCTACACTACGCATTTTGCCAGAAGAGGCAATGCAAATGAAGTGCTGATTGGCATTTTCGCATGCTTAATTTGCATAATCTCTTCCAATCCATTTTTGCACAAGAGGTTTTTGGGCAAAAACATTGCAGTGTGCATGTTTCCATTTTGCCCAAAAAACCCTTTTTGCGCAAGATCCTTATGCCTCTCCTGAGTAATCAGTGCTTCATTTGCGTTGCCTCTTCTGGCAAAATACATAGCGTAAACATAGCTGTAGCCAGTCCAGTCGGCTTACCGTATTGTCTTTACCCTGACCCCGTCGGAATGTCCCGAACTTCCCCTTAGTCCTGCCTTGGAGTCACTACGCTAGTGAGTCTACCTATACATTTAACTGTGCCATGCCTCCACCCGTAGACAGGGAGGGGCTTGGAGAGCTGAAGCACTATCTCCCTCATTTATCGCCAGGTGTTCCCTCCTCCAAGGGTGAGGAGGGAGAGGGGAACCCAGGCCCACCCTCACTTACGGACCTTAAGGACGTGAACCTTCTGTGGTCCGATTCGGCTGACGGGGCAGGGGTTCACTGCCCTGCCCCGGGCTGCTTCCTCTCCCCCACTGGTCCTGCCACCCCTGACCAGGGCCTACCTAGACCTCCAGTGGCTCGGTTGCCCTGCTCTGCTGCCAGCCTCGGATCCCTGTTGCACCACGGGGCCTGGCTGGCACATGCCCACAGCCAAATCCACCACCTCTCTTGGCGCCAGGAGGCGTATAAACCTCCCGTCGTCTCTGGAGTCTGACTTGACGCCGTCCTGACATCATGTGCGTGGCCCCGCCTCCTCTGTTGCTTCTGGGCCGCATTTCAGCTGCCGCGCCCGGGGCTGCCAGGCATTCTGCGGCCTGCGAGCACCCGGTACAATGCCGGTACCTTGCCCCCAGCACCGTAAACAGAGCGTTTGCAGCGGGGACTGCAGTGCGGGGCTGCGCCGCCACATCACAGTAGCCTATGACACTGGATGTGGAGTTTCACTTCCCGTCCCTTCAACCCCCACCTATTACTGAAGCAACTTTCTTCTAAGAAATTGATCTTGACTTCACTGGGCTTTGGATCAGGCTCATAACTTGAATGCTTTTGCAAGATGAGAGAGAAGTTGCAGTGAAGTTCACTGGGAACCAGGTAGTGCCTCTGTGCCATGCCACGGGCCCTAATTCATGTTTAATTTGTTCTTGGGGAGAAGGCAAGGGAGAGTTTCTTTCACAAAATGCCCAAACTCACCAGTCCACCATAGACCAGTAATCAACAAAATTTAATTCACATTACAAAAAAGCCTTTTTCAGATAAAATAGAAAATTAAGTATCTTAACTGCGTTTATGTATTTAGTTTACTTTTAAACTCAAAGTTAAAAAGTGCCAGAAACAGTACTTTCCAAAATTGAAAGAAGGTGTTTCTTAGCAAGGGTATTGCATGTGACAAATGCTAGAAGTACTCTGTAATTAGGGTAGCGAGTGTGACAAAGCCTGAATACAATAAAAGGTTATTTATCTTGATGTAGGTGTTTAACAAATGTAACTGTAGTTCTGTATAAATGATCATTTTATTTTTTCAGTGGGGGTATGTCTATACTATGGCATTATTTCGAAATAGCGTATTTCGAAAAAACGCATCTACACACAAAATGCATTTCGAAAACCTGGGAGAAGGGAGCTGGAAGGGGGAAGCAAGGGGAAGAAAAGGGAGGGGATGCTCAGGGCTCAGGGTTGGGGGTCTCGACAGACCAACTTGATTTTCATGCGAACCTTCTCCTGGGTTTGCTTGCGGCCTTTGGTGGCCAGGCTGGCAGCTATCCTGCCATAGAGGGCCTGGTTCTTCCATCTAGTGCAGAGAAAATGGACGTTGGGGGCATCCCCCCCCAAACCTGAATAAGGACCATGATCTCCACCCTGTAAAAGGAAGGCACCTGCCTTCTCTGGGCCCTGGCAGGCTCCTGGGAGCTGGCAGACTGCTCCTGGGGAGTGGTGGAGGGCTGGCTGCCAGTGGCTTGCTGGCTCATGTTTTCGGGCCACTGGGTCAGGGGCAGTGACTGCTGGCTCTGAGCTGGCAGGCTTGGAGCTGGCACAGGCACTGTGGCCAGGGTCTACCCCTTTAAGGGTTCCAGGAAGCCCGGGAGGGAGAGGTTCTTGGTTGAGGCTGGAGTGGCCTCACTGCACTTATTTTGAAATAGCAATTTCGAAATTGGTGTTATTCCTCAAGGTTTACCAATTTCAAAATAAGCCCTCTGCTATTTCAATTTAATTTCGAAATAATAGAATGGCTGTGTAGACGCTAGGATAGTTATTTCAAAATAACGGCTGTTATTTCGAAATAACTTTGCTGTGTAGACATACCCTGGGGGAGGAAGCAAATAAAATTATGCAAAAATATAAATTAAGAGTACTTTTTGGTAGCATTCATTTACATTCCCTTATTTTTCTAGATGTTGTAGTTTTTTAGATACAGTGTAGTCCTGTGAAAACGTGCCAGTTATAGAATTTGTAACATAGGTTCTGAGACCCACTGCTCAAAAATAACTAACATATTCCCTTTCTTGAAATGCTGCAAAGTCTCTCCATGCTATTATCTGTGGGTTCTTATACCACCTTCTTCAACATTGAAGGCAAGCCCCTTTCAGTAGTACATTACTAATAGCTATCACATAATGTTTGTTTCATCTCTTATGCTCTCCACAGGTACAGAATTATGTTTGCAATGGAGTCTTTTGGTAAGTTTTTAAAATATATAGATAGATATATTTCATTTATCTATTTTCCTGTTTACACAATGTCAGAGAAGGCAGATAAAAGATGTATGCCGTGCAAAAGGTGATGAGGTCTTTAGTTGCCCCTAGTTGCTGTGGAAGTTCAGTCCACAGTCTTGGGCCCAATTTACACAAGGTGGTTAGGTTGAATTTAGTTGCATAAGGTCAATTTTCTAAACAATGAGTCCACGCTACCAAGCCCATCCCATCAATTTTAAGGGCCATTAAAGTTGATATCAGTACTACTGTTTTCACAAGGAGCAACTGCTAAATTTGATTTTGTATGGTCGACTCTCCAGTAGTGTGGATGCAGCTCTATGAAATTCAAAGTTCTTGGCCTCCAGGAGGTGTCCCACAATTCCCACAGTGACTGCTCTGGCCACAACTTTGAACTCTACTGCTCTCCAGGTGAACAGGAAAAGCCCCCAGAAAATTTGAATTTCATATCCTGTGTGGCAAACATGGTGAGCAGATCTGAGAGCTGGCAGTACATCTGAGAAGCCTGCCTGAACATGAGTTCAAGTTCCATGAGTTCCCTGAGTCACAGATGAGCATCACCATGGAGTATTCAGGAGATCCTGGACCTCATCGCTGTGTAGGAGAGGAATCTATGCAGAACTACAACCAGCAAAAGAAATGCAGATATTTATGCCAAGATCACCAGAGAAATGGAGGAGAAAGGCAATGCCAGCCATGCCCAGCACTGCCAAATGAAAATAAAAGGAGCTGAAGCAGTTGTACCAAAAGACCACTTAATTTGCTTTAAAAAAATTTATTTTATTTTTTCCAACTTAAAGCTATTAAATTTCATGACATTAAGACTCTAGGGCAATGGTTACACTGTAGCCTTCTTGCAGAAAAGCTTATGCAAATGGAGCTCAGTGTGGATTATCGCCACGCTTCATTTGCATAATTAATGAACAGCCACTTTTGCACAAGAGGTTTTTGCGCAAAAAGGAGCTGGGTAGATGGCTACTTTTTGTGCTAAACCTCCCCCCTCTTGTGCAAGAGGGGGTTTTTACGCAAAATGGAGCCATCTACACAGTTCCTTTTTGCCAAAAAGCCTCTTGCGCAAAAGCGGCTGTTCATTAATTATGCAAATGAAGCACAGTAATCCAAGTTTCATTTGCATAAGCTTTTCTGCATGAAGGCTACAGTGTAGCCATAGCCTAACAGAACTGCTGGAATGCTATCAACAAATTCAAACCCCATTTAAAGCTTCTTTCAAGGAATAGCAGTGTGTGAACATGCACATAGCTTAATGTTTAAGCTAATATATTTAGATACATATTGATAACTAGAAATTACATATATTCACACATACATAAATACAGAGACCTGAAACAGATTCTTCCCACTTTGATTACATCAACCTATATTATGCCACAATTACGTGAGTGCTTTAAGCAAAATTTTAAAAAGGTATAACCGTGATTTTGGATAAGCAGCCAGACAAGGCATACAAAATACAAACTTAGTGCCTCATTAACCTGGTGTAAATTCGACATTTACATCGTTAGTTTAGTATTTCTTCTCCAAGTAATTACTTCAGCACATGAAATTTTTTTTCTGCTCAACATCACAGGCTTAAAAACAAACACAAAACATTGTCAGAGCCAACATTAAAGAGATGACTGAAGTTTTAAGTGTCTTAAAACCTAACCACGTCTCTTGAAATCAAAGTACTTTCTTTGAAGTGAGAACTCTTTTTTCCCTACCCTTATCCTCATTTATAGAATAAAATATGAAGTTTATAGAACAGGATTAGGAATTATACAGTTCCATTCCGTTAACACATTTGTGTTGTAGGTGCAGCTTGAATATGCTGCACATCAGTATTTATAAATAGTAAGTTATTTGTTTTCCCAGTAAATGAATAAGAGGGCTAGTAGTGACATAGCATTGCCCATTTTTTCTGGGACATCTTTAAAGAACAGAGTTTCATTTGAACTGAGCTATACAAAGATCTCTAATAGTAAAAATCGTCCCCATTATCTAGTAAATGTAAGGAAACTGAATTCTTTAATTCTTCCAATTATCAAGCTAAAGCTGAATCTGCTGCAGCTCTTCTTAGGAGTGAATTGTGCTTTTTCTAGAACTCTAGTCCACACATATGAAAACCCAACATAACAGGATTTTTTTAAAATTGTTGTTCACACATGAGTACAATTGGTAGATGGTGCTGTATCTATCCTACTTTTACTTTCTTTAACATCATTCAGAGGCGATTCATTGCCTATCTGGCATTTGAAGACTTGTTTGTAGGCCTTCCTGAAATTTTCTGAGAGGAATGCATATATAATAGGATTTACAGAAGAATTACTGTAAGCCAAGCAGTGTGCTGTTATTCTGAAGAGAAATGAGGCTTGAGTCAGTGGGAAAACTCCAAATTCAGCCCAAAGGTGGATCACATGATGTGGCAGCCAAGATATGCCAAAAACCACCACCACTACCAGCACAGTCTGGGCTGTCTGAGGCAGAAAAAGAGAAACACGAGTGATTTATTAACACTTGAACAAACAGTTTCAAACAACATGCTTCAAAACCATTATTTAAGAATAATAAAATACTAGGAAAAGCATGTTTCTAACTATTTGCACATTATTTCAGTTTAACAGCCATACATATTTTATTACATATAAGATATGGTATTCAGTCAAGAAGAATATAGTCCCTCAAATTTTTCTAGGTAAATATGAGGTTCCCTTTGCAATGCGTGATTCAAATGGTAGAGAAAAGTATGCAAACAGGAAGGCCCTGATTAACTACTTTGTTAGTCCAGTTTTATGTTAATGGGATTCCACTGAGTTGCAACCAAGTTTCACTGACACAAAACTGGTCTAAGGCAGTGGTGATGCAAGCCCATGGGAAATGCTAAAACTTTAATTCTAATAGGCTATGTTTTCTGTGCACTGCAGAGTGATCAAACTGTGGCTCATGAGCCACATGCGTCTCTTTTACCATTAAACTGTGGTTTATAGAACACCCCCATAACTCACACCCATTCTCAACCTACCAGACTTGGGAAGCTTGGAATCACTGCCGTAAGGCAGGGTAGGGAGTAGGGATTTCAGTCCCTTGGGATGGTGGTTCTCAGAGCTTCTACCTAGCAGCTACACTTCCCAGGGTTCAGGGCTTGAGCCCGGGGCTGCAACCCTGAGCCTCAGCAGGCACCTTCTGTGGAGTTGAAGCTCTAAGCCCCAGAAGCTGTGTTCTATCTCTCAGGCTATGTCTATACTACGATCCTCTTCTGCAAGAGGAAATGCAAATGGAGCGCTCATTTTTTGAGGAAGAATGGCTCTGGTGCAAAAGGGGGTTTTGCGCAAAAAGGAGCCATCTACACAGCGCTTTTTTGCACAAAAACCTCTTGCGCAAAAGAGTTCCAAGGAGGATATGCTAATGAGAGTGTGTCATATGCAAATGAGTGGTCCATTTGCATTTCCTCTTGTGGAAGAGGATGTTAGTATAGACATAGCCTCAGAGTCTGAAGACTGTCACATACAGCTTGGAGAGTCAGTAAGTGTGGCTATCCCTGATGTATTGAATAAAAATGAATGGCCAGATTTTCAAAAGGCCTCCACCTAAAATTGAGTTCCCACATTTTCAAAAATGCTCAGCATCCAGCTGGCCACTGAATTTAGGTGCCTAAATGAAGAACCGAGGTCTTTTGCAAATCTGATTCATTATACAAATCTCATTAATGCCAGTGGAAATAATGGATTGCCCAGCAATGAAGATGACCACAACAGATGTATTAAACCTGAATTGGAGGGGGGGGAAGCTAAAGTGTGCTTCTGATAACCCGGGAAACACAAGCTCACCAACAAAAACAGTATTTTAGACAAAAGTAATTAATTGAGCAGAACAGCGTAGATCACACTTCCATCTGACTCATTTTCCTTATTTTCATAAGGAGATGCCATCCATTTTCAACGTCAGACTCTGCCAATGGGAAGTACTAGGATACAAACTGAGAAATGTTAGGGTTTGTAGGATAGCAGAATGCAACTCTGGCTTAGAAATCTCATTGTTGAATCTTTCTTTAACTTTCAGTTACTGTAGGAAAATACTTATTATTATTTTGCAGTTGTTTGACAAATTAGTAACTATTAAATTTCCAGCAACTACCTCTTTCAATTAGTTAATTGATGAGAGATTTAAGCTCCATCTTCACTATCAAATTTGCCATTCACTGTTATTACATAAATAGGGTCTTGTCACTTTTACAACATTGTTTGGCCATACTGTTTAGAAGGATTCAAAATGTGTTACTGAGCTGACTTAAGCTTAGTCCCATCTACTCAAACAACACTGATCTATGTTATAATACAGAGCCATGAAATGATACACATTAGTGTACATGAGGCTTAGATATTTTGCTAAATACTTGAATTTGGGTTCTTTTTACCTTCAAGGTTCGTCTAGACAGTGGCATTATTTCGGCATACTTCCAATATCTGAAATAACATTTTCTGTGTCTTGACAGTGCACCCCTTATTTTGAAATATCTTTTGAAATAATGGGTGCGCTATTCTGACTCCCTGTAAACCTCATTCCACGACAATTAAGGCATGTTTCAGAATAGTGGTTTATTTTGAAATTTGGCACTGTCTATACAGCGCCACATTTTGAAATAAACTCAAAATAAGCTATGCAATTAGCATAGCTCAAATTGCATAGATTATTTCGAGCTATGGGTGCAGTGTAGACCCTTAATGACTGGTACACTTTCTCTGAACAATAGATTTTTAGCTCTTACTGGCAAGAAATCAGTCTCATCTCATCAAGAAAAGCTTGGATGGCTCATGAAAATCACTGTCATTTCAGTGACAATGGATAAATATTACCCGCATGGGATGTTGCACTAATTAGTTCTTGCTGAACAGAAATCTTAGCATTAGACTTGATTCCCTGCAAAACAGTTTGTATTCAGCTGTGCTTACAAATAACTTTCCTGAGCAATTGTAGAACTTTGAGTAATTCAGTCAGCTTCACTCTTAACCTCACTAACACAATCATCCACACCTATAATCCACATTTATATTCTTATTCCAATGGGTCCAATCCATCAAATAATACTAGTGCCTTTAGAGAGAGAAAAAAAAGCTCCAGGAAGTCATTCTGTAGATTCCACATCAAGGCCACCTAATCAGTACAGTAGATAGTCAGCCAAAGATAAACCTTCCCATGCCAAAAGAAGTCTCTTTCATGTCCACAAGTGAACATGGAGTAGTTTGGGGAGAGGAGAAAAAACAGAAGATCTTCAATTATCTGAAACTTAAAAAGAATCCTATAAAAAATGGAAAGAAGGTCAAACTATGAAGGAATAATATTAAGCTTGTAGGAGCAAAATTAGAAAGGCCAAGACGTAAAATGGAGTTGGAGGTATGAAGGGTAACAAGAAAACATTCCTCAAATAAATTAGAAGCAAGAGGAAGACCAAGAAGAGGATAGACCCCTTAATCAATGAAGGAGGAAACACAATAACAAAAAATGTAGAAATGAAGTGTTAAATGCCTGTTTTTGTTTTAGTTTTCACCAAAAAGTTTAGTAGCAACTGGATAACTGACATATTGAATGCCAGTAAAAATAAGGTAGATTCTGATGCTAAAATAAGGACAAAGACAAGTTAAAACATTACTTATACAAAATAGATGTCTTCAAGTCAGCAGTGCCTGAAGAAATAAATCCGAGAATACTCAGGGCACGTCTACACAGCAGCGTTATTTCAAAGTAACAAAGTGAGCATCTATACGGCAAGCCCATTATTTCAAAATAATTTTGAAATAATGGGTGTAGCAGGATGGTGTTGATGGCCCTCACCACCTGTAGAAGGAGACAAACAGGGAATCACAGGGCTGCCAGAGCCCTTGGGAGATCCTCAAGCCCAGCTTTCTTTCCCCCATTCACTAGGCCCAACCCCAACTAACCCCATTCCCCAGCAGGGTTTTGTGAAACCCTTCAAGGAAGGGAGATTCTACCACCTCTTTCCTAGGGAACCCCATCCAAGCAGTTCACCACCCTCCCATGCCATACCTGCATGATCATGACCCTGACAGTCAATCTCCCCACACTGAACTGGTTCCCCATGGAGCAGTAGCTGTCCAGCATGGCAAGCTTCCACGGGGCTATGTCGACCGGTTTCTGGAGGAGGATGGCAGGTTGCATGTGGGTGTCCCATTGCCTGAGGGCAGGGGCAAATCACTCACATAACTCCAGGAATGTGTCTTTCCACGTGTGGAAATTCTGGCGTCACTGCTAATCGTCCCACCGCTTCGTGACAATTCAGTCCCACCGATCAGATTCTGGTGTTCCACTGCCAGAAGCAGCAGTGCACGGTGAGCAGGGAAGAGTAGGAGGGGCGGTGCTGCATGAGCAGCATGTGGAAAGAGGTGGGGGGGGTGTCCTGCAGGGAGCTGCGGGTCCATATTCTGCAGTGCCATGAGGGCAGCCTGCAAAAACTGCACTAGGAGGTGCATCATGATGTCCAGGAGCTGGAGACTTCTTTGCAGCAGGTCCAACTCCATGGCAGAAGTGCTGTGGCGTCTGCAAGGGCAACCAGAGCAGGCAGGGAAAAGGCTTTGCAGTCCCTCAAGGAAGTAGGCAAAAGAGAGGAGTCTGAGTCATGACTGTACAGGAGGGTCCTTTTAAGCACAAGCCTCAGATAGCTCAGGAAGCAGCTACAGAAAGTGACTGCTGTCCTGATGACCTGCCTGAAGTGCTTCCAGGAGATTTTAAATGTGATTGAGGCTCCAATCAGTGTAGATGCTCTTCTTTGAAATAACTCAGCCCTATTTCAATGGGCATTTCAATAGTGTAGATGCACTATTTCAGAGTTTTTATTCCAAAATAACTTATTCTGAAATAACACTGCTGCATAAACATACCCTCAAAAAACTGATTGAGGAGATATCTGAGCCATTAGCTATCATCTTTGAGAACTCACGGAAGATAGGAAAGATTTCATAGGACTGGAAGCCCAGATCTACAATAACCCGGGTCTATTTATCTTTAACAAATGGAGCATTCACACTACCAATCGTGTTATTTCAAAATAAGGGGCTGGTTATTTTGAAATAATAACTCCTGCTTTCCGTGAGGAATAATGCTTATTTTAAAATCATTATTTCAAAATAGCGGTACTGTGGATGCTCCACTGCTGCTATTTTGAAATAACTCTCCTCAGAGTCATTCAAAGTAATTATTCCCCAATGCTTCCTGGGGCTCTAAGTTGAGGTAGCACATCTACACTAAGGGCACATCTACACTGCGGCTTTATTTCGAAATATCTTCTCAAATCATTTACAGAATGGTATAGACAGTATACTTATAAAGTTTACAGATGATATCATGCTGGGAGGAGTTGCAAATAAGGAGTTCCAAATACTTTGGAGAAGAGAATTAAAATTTAAAGTGATCCAGATAGCCTATTTTTTCAGTGTATGTCTAGACTACAAAGATAAATCAGAAA